CCAATAAGATCAGTTTTATGGACATTCAGGCTTTTCAAGTTCTTTGCATGTCTCCATCCCTTAAATCCCCTGAGTCCCAGCCTTAGGGCAAGGGTGACTGACAGTGTATAGTCTAAACACTACAGAGCTACAGTAATCAAAACAGTAGGGTATTGGCATGAAAACAGACATATGGATCAATGGAACAGAATAGAGAGCCCAGAAATAAAGCCACAGACCTATGGTCAATTAATCTTTGACAAAGGAGACAAGAATATACAATGGAGAAAAAACAGTCTCTTCTGCAAGTGGTGTTGGGAAAACTGGACAGCCGCATGTAAATCAATGAAGTTAGAACACTCCCTCATACCAGACCCGAAAATAAACTCAAAATGGCTTAAAGACTTAAATATAAGACAAGACACAATAAATCTCCTAGAAGAAAACATAGGCAAAACATTCTCTGAAAAATCTAAGCAATGTTCTCCTAGGGCAGTCTACCCAGGCAATAGAAACAAGAGCAAAAATAAACAGATGGGACCTAATGAAACTTGAACTTACAAGCTTTTGCACAGCAAAGGAAACCATAAGTGAAACAGAATGACAACCAATGGAATGGGAGAAAATATTTGCAAATGATGCGACTGACAAAGGCCTAATTTCCAGAATATATAAACAGCTCATTCAACTTAATAAGATAAAACAAACAACCCAATCCAAAAATGGGCAGAAGACCTAAACAAGCAATTCTCCAATGAAGACATACAAATGGCAAATAGGAACATGTAAAAAACGCTCAGTATCACTAATTATCAGAGAAATGCAAATCAAAACTACAATGAGGTATCACCTCACACCAGTCAGAATGACCATCATTCAAAAGTCCATGAATGATAATGCTGGAGAGGGTGTGGAGAAAAGGGAACCTTCCTACACTGTAGGTGGGAATGCAGTTTGGTGCAGTCACTGTGGAAAACAGTATGGAGATTCCTCAAAAAACTTAAAATAGACTTACCCTATGATCCAGCAGTCCCACTTCTGGGTATATATCCAGAGGGAACTCTAGTTTGAAAAGATACCTGCACCCCAATGTTCAAAGGAGCACTATTTACAATAGCCTAGACATAGAAGCAACCTAAATATCCACTGACAGATGACTGGATAAAGAAGTTGTGGCATATTTATATAATGGAATACTACTCAGCCATAAAAAGAATAAAATAATGCCATTTGCAGCAACATGGATAGATCTAGTGATTGTCATTCTAAGTGAAGTAAGCGAAAGAGAAAGAAAAATACCATATGATATCACTCATATGTGAAATCTTAAAAAAAAATAAAGAAAAAAAAAGCACACTGAACTCATCTATAAAACAGAAAAAGACTCAGACATAGTAAACGATCTTATGGTTACTGGAGAAAAGGGGTGGGAAGGGATAAATTTGGGAGTATGAGATTTGCAAATGTTACCACTATATATAAAAACAGATTTAAAAGTTTCTTCTGCGTAGCACAAGGAACTATATTCAATATCTTGTAATAACCTTTTATGAAAATCAATATATATGTATATGCATGACTGGGATATTGCACTGTACACCAGAAATTGACACATTATAACTGACTATACTTCAATTTTAAAAGATTTAAAAAAACAAACTCTGTATAGTCTAACGCAGTTGCCTAATTTTCTATCAATACCAGAGCTAAGACTGATTGACTTCAAGACAATAATCTGAAGTGCTAGAACTAACGCTGTCTTTTAGGCCAATAGCTCATATGACTCATCGTCAAGTCCAAGGTTGTAGAGTTCTACTCTATCTTATATCCCCATTGTGATAACTGCATGTAGTGGATGCTGTGGTGAGCTGCTCCAATCCCTCTTTTAGGACAAGACATTCATTCTCCCAGCTGCTTGGAGTACTGCCTGCTGAAGACTCACATCACAATCCCTCTCTGGGAGTTGCCTTCAGCCAAAGGGAGCCGCCAGAACCACACATCTATTAGAAAGGCCAAGATCCAGAAAACTGATGACACCACATGCTGGTGAGAAAGGGAAGCAACAGGAATTCTCATTCCCTGCTGCTAAGAAGGCAAAATGGTACAGCCACTTTGGAGGACAGTTTGGCAGTTTCTTACAAAGGCAGCTGCCATACCAAGGTGATGCCCCCTCTCTGTAGGCAGCTCACATCCAATGGCTGGAAGATGCAGGGGTAAAATGACCCTTGCCTCAACTCTAAAGGGCCACCTCAGTCCAGAGCTTCCAGCAGGAAGGTTGAGGACTCTGTTCCAAATGTATCACAGTTCAATATCTCTCTTTGCCCGTTCCCACTTCCCTCATTCCCTTACAGATGTTGTTCTCCAAGCACTCCCTCAAATTCTCTTTATGCAAGTCACCATCTCAGACCCTGGTTCCTAGGGGACCCAACCATTGGTATGAAAGCAGCTTACAAAATGATATTTTGGAGATGGATCACCTTTTAGCCAACTGTCAACGAGGACCCTGTCATGGGTGGTGGGTGGAACACTGATAACTCATAGCTTGATACACAGGTGCAGTTGTTGACACTTTCACTGTGGGCGAAAGGGGAGAGCTTCACTGGTGGTACACCGGTAAGGGGTTTGAGAAGTTTGGTGCAAGCAGTTCTCATGAGAACTATGGAGTCAAATGGCTCTTGCTGTGTCTTACCTATCCTATTCACCAGCAAAAGGCAAAGAAATGCTGCCGGGATTGATCACCAATTTAAGGTGAGGGGTCAGAGGCCCGCACTGCAGCAAACAAAAAGACTCCTTTCCTGTTGAAGGGCAAAAAAAAACTGAGCTCCAGGTTTCTATTAGAGGAATGAAGTTTCAGAGAATGTTGAGTTCTCAGCCAGAGTAAGATTGCTGAACCGAAGTCAGGCTCCAACTGGGAAGAACTGAGATCCTGAGAGCTGGGGACGTGCTGGTTGACACATTTGAAAGTACTGATTCCCCAGAATCCCCTAAACCCTCTGAGCACACGTCTGCCCTGGTAAAGGCTAGTTTCCCTGTGCCCACAGGAGATGCATAGGTTTCTGCCTTTGAAGTCTCCGTGCTCCACTTCTGAGGATCTACCCCAAATTTCTTCCTGGCCACCAGTCCAATAAATAGGGTTAAGATACAACATAACCCAGCCAGAGAAGTGCTGGGTCTGCTAATGGAGGATGAGGATGCTGAAGGAGTGGCCAATACCTACTGGCAGGAGTCGGGAAAGTTTATATGGGAATGGATACTGAGGGCGATGGACTGGAGAGCAGAATATAAAGTTGGATAAAAGAGAGTTTATCAGTATGGTTAGAATTCAACTCCTTATATACGTCAAGTATGTGACCCTTTGTGATAATGGCTTTTGCATGTCTTTCCAACCTGACGTTGTGTCCCAGTTTGCCCCCTCTATTCCAGCAATACCAAGCTACCGAGGTCAAGTTATATTTAGCCCTCTGTAAAACCACTAACAACTCTCTCTGCCTAGAATGTTTACCCTACTCCATTCCCCATTCTACCCCTGCCTTAGGTGCCTACAGCCTTCTATTTTATAGCACAGCCCATCTGGGAATCTTATCTGCTAATGGGAGTAGAAGTTAATACATCTTTTCCGGAAACAACTTGGCAATACTGGGAGCCTTAAAGCGATTCAGGAATTCCATTTTTCCCTGGGAAGGGTGAAATCTGAAATTTTCAAAAATTTATGAACAAAGATAAAAATGGCATACTTATTATTATAAAAATTAATGTAACCCAAATATCTGAACATACAGGTTTATGGAAATTACATCCATACAAAAATTGTGTGTAGCTACTGAAAATGATGTGTTTTAATAATTCATAATAAGAAAATGCTTATGATAAACTAAATGAAAAACAAAATGAAGTTATAGGATCAAAACTTTGTAATAATGTGATAGGAAAAAGTACTGAAAAAAAATGACAAAATCTAACAGTAGTTATTGCCAGGCACTGGAAGTACAAGGTATTTAAATTTTCTTCTTTCTTCTTTAAATTTTCTTCTTTCTTATGCTTTTCTGTATTGCCCAGATTGGCTCAGAGAACAGATACTACTTTCATAATCAAGACTCAGCTTAAGTATCACTTCTGAAAAGAAAAGTCCTTTTTTCCCAAAATGTGGAAAATATATATATATATTAAAACGTACATATGTATATATAAGCTTTTTACCATGGTCCTAACCAAATACAATTATCTATTCACCCATCTGCACCCTTCACTATGATTATGTAGATAGAAATTTTGTCTTTTATTTCTATAAATTTAGCATCTATGCATTGCCTGGCATATAGCAGTTTCCTAAAAATTATTTGCCATCTTTTCTTTTTTCTTTCTTTTTTTTTTTTAACTGGGAGGTTGCTGTTGGCTTTGCACTTTTGACTAGGACAAATGGTCTCTATTATTCTGAACCTAAGAACAAACCCAAAATTTATTAAAAACAAAACTTTTTGAAGAAATGCTGGAATAATCGATTTTACTTTTAGTGAGTGAAATCTTTTTTTTTTCCTCCAAGCCCAGGATTTCTGACAAAAGAAATAAACTTGGAGTCAAACATGATGAATGTTGCAATTATTCCCTGAACTATAGTAACACGATATTAATACTAATATTTTCCTCAAAATAAACTCCAGATTTAACACAGTGTCCTTCCAGATGAGGGTGAAGGCAGGCAGGTGTTTCCCCAGTGCTGCTCTTTTCCGTGGGAGCTGTCAGCCCCAGGGCGGTACTCCACAGCTGGACTGTAAACAAAAGCTTTTCCAATTGGCTCAACGTACGTTCAATAGCAAAATAACAGAAAGGAGTGGACTCTGTTCTCCAAAATGTATTATTTGGGCAGACTTTCACTGTGAAAGTCTTCACAGTTTGCACACATTTCTCCCAGCTGGACGTTTACGTCCCGATTAACAATTACATAATGTAATCTTTCATGTGAGAATTTTGAGCAGCACAACAGGGACATGGAAAGAGACTAATCTAAACTTCTTGGCAGAGAGTGAGTGTCTCGCTTAACATGTGAAGGAAACTTTATTTTGGGAACCGTGTGAATACGTCGGGGGAAGCCTAGGTCGCTGGATTTGGCACTAGAGTTTCCTCTAGTAAGAACCAGAAGGTTCCAGTTACCGCTGCCTCCCAGAATAAAAATAAATTTTCTTTCAGGCTGTGTCTTGCGCAGATACGAGTGTGCGGAGGGCTAGGTACCTACGTGTGTTAGGTCATGATGAACTGGAGGGTGACTCACAATCACCCTGAAGATGTGTGAGATCCTATGAAAACTCTCTCGGGGGAAGAATTCCGCGTCTGCACGGCTCTAAAGGGAGAGAGGTGAGGTCGGATCGCGCGCCCACGGCGCGAGCATCACGGAGCCGCACCGCCGCCCCCCGGGCTCCACGCGCTCCTCCCCGGGCCCGCCCGCCCTCGCCCCGCGCCTCCCCCGCAACGGCCCGCCCCCGCCCTCAGGCCGCGCCCGGCCAACAGCTCGCTCGGAACCTTCCCCTTCACCGTTCCTCGTCACGCCCCAAAGCATCCCTGCCCGCCCCCAGCCCCCAGCGTCACCCTCCGGCATCTCCGCCGGCGCCCGACACCCCATCCCCCAACTCCCCGCGGGCGCGCGACGCCCTCGAGCCGCCGCCGCCCATTGGCCCGCGCGGAGCAGGTGGGAAAATTGGCCAACGGCTGCGGCCGGTCCTGAGGGTGGCGGGGGGATGGCGTCGGGACCCAGGCCCGCGGCGCCTGACGACTCGGTCCGCACGACCAGCCCAGGCCGGCGAGGCGACAAGGTTGTCTCCGCGCCCACCGGGGACCTGGCGGCGGCGGCGGCGGCGGCGGGGAGCCTGAAGAGAACCGCGTCCCCGGTGCGGTCGGTGGTGGCGTCCCCGCGCCCGGTGAAGGGGAGGGCGGGCCGGGAGGCGGCGCGGCGGCGGCTGCAGCTCCCGCCCGTGTCTCAGGCCGAGGGCCCGGGAGAGGGGCCGCGGGAGGAGGATGAGGAGCCCCTTCTCTCGGTGCCGGAGGAGGATGACGCGGAGGCGCGGCCGCTGCCCCCGGTCTGCGTGTCCCCCATGAGGGGGATGTGGCGGGACGAGAAGGTGGCGCTGTACTGCGACGAGGTGCTGCGGGGCTGCAAGGTGAGGAGGCGGAGAGGGCAGCGGGCGGGAACCCGCACGCGGGGAGGCGGGGCCCCCTTTTACGGTGGTGCGGGTACAGGGGGCACAGGGAAAACCTGCGTTTCGAAAGACCACATTTACTGCACATTTCCAGGGCCCTGTTGAAGGAGTTACAATTAGATTTTCCTTCGGACAGCATGCATCAGTTAAGGGGACCGCTCTAATGGAGTGTTTTCTGGTTATCTGAAGACAGATAGTCCTTGTCGTCGCCCAAGTATGCGTCTTAGTGTTTTAATTTAACAACCTGTGCCCAAACATAAGGACAAGATTACTCAGCCTTGACTTTTTCGCTACAATACTAAAAACGTTTAGTCTAGGATGTGTAGTGAGGTTTTGTAAAAGATTACCTACCTACCTGGTGAATGGAACAGATATTGTATGTTTCTACCGTATTTTTATTTAAAGTGTAGCAGAAGAATTTGTGTAGGAGGATTCCGTTGCACTGATGTTTATAAAACTTAAAAACTAGAAACTAAATTTCTAACTATGAGCATAGTAAAGAATTTGTGATGGCTTCATATAATGGAAAACCACGCAGTTCTAAAATTATGTTTTCAGGACCTATAGATATGCTTATGCTATAATGTTAAATAAAAAAAAGATTAAACATATGATTCATGTGTGTGGTTGAATAAATATATAGAAAAAAGGCTGGAAGGAAATGCACCAAAACATCAGCAATGGTTTTTCTGGCTGCCAGGATTAGGGGTAATTTTTGTTTCCCTTATGTTAATATGTATTTTTTAGATTGTCTGTAGGTTAAACATTTTATAATCAGAAGAAAATTTTATTTTTAAAAATGCCATTACCATAATAACACTAGGGTGGTATTTAACGACCAACGTATATCTGATACTGAGTGTTGGAGAAGGTTAGATCTCTTAAAGCCAATTGAAACACATTGATATAAATTACTGTGTCATTAATCAGGCAGGGTCTAATGATTGAGTTTCATAATAGCTTACATTATTTATCATCCTGAGGGTAGCTGAATTTAAATGTAGAAAGTCAAATGGACAGATATTTATTGAATGTTTAATGTGCTCATTTGTTTTATAGCTTGGATTTCTATTTTAAATTTTTATGTACTGAATAAATTTTAAATAGGTCATTACATCTTTGAAGTTCAGAAAAAATAATTAAGTTTTTAAGATGACAAGTATTTTTTATATGTATAGTTACAGTATTTTCGTCCAGTGGATTAATAAAACAAATTATTTAAAACTTAAATAATAAGTAGATGTCTCACCTCTGAATTACTCCACTGAGGGACTAGATCTCTTTTAAGTTTAATTTTTTAATATTCATGATATTTTCCATTAACTATAGATTTAGTTAAAATCTGTTATTTTCCAGGTTTTTCATTATTTAAGGATATACTGGTCTCATATTTAAATAATAAAAATATTTATTTATAAATCTATAATTTCATATTTTTTTCTTCTGCTAGGCAGAAGATGCTGATGACGCTATGAGTAAATACCTATCAGAAAAATTAAAGTTGAAAGACAAATGGCTTGGGGTCTGGAAGACTAATCCTGAGTTATTCTTTATGAAATATGAAGAAGCTTCTATACCTTTTGTTGGTATACTGGTTGAGGTAAAAATTTTTCACCTGACCTTTCTTCTTTGCATGAAATTATCAGTTCTTTTTAAGACCAAATATCACCTCATTAATTTGGGGCTTTGATACTTAAACAGAAGTTGACAAAAGTTTACTCCTACTTTAAGTTTTTAAGCAAATAGGATTAAAAAAAAGGTAAGGAGGGATATTAGCACCCATTTTCTTATAGACAGTTATTAAATCTAATGGTACCAGATAATATCAATTAGTCTAGATTTAATTGATGAAATACCATAAAAATAACAAAAATGCTTTTCTTAAAAATTAGTAACTTAAGCTTTAACTATTTGCACCTCTTTTCTCATTATTTCTCTTTAATCTTCATTTATCTGAATTATGAGGTTTAGTTAGAGAAAGAAAGAAAATGGATCAGAAAACTGTTGGTAACATCTGAAACTTTTTCCTATGAAAAGTGCCCTTTTATTACAATGCGTCTACTTCCAAGACCTCATCTGATAAACTTTTGCTTTTAAAGGTCTGTAGGTTAAATACTGTGGCATATTTGACATCATAAATTTGATTCCTCTAAAAGTCAATATCCTTGTATAAAAGTTAGTATCACAAATCACCTCATAGATATTTCAAATCTGTGGTTTTGGTGACAAGAAAAATTTATGTTTGAAACTCATTACATTGCACACTACCTTAAAATAATTCAATTCTATGCTTTATGGAAAAGTAAATTAGTGGTATTTTACAATAAAAGGTAGCATACATTCAGTCATAGAGGCCACAAAGGAATATGAAAGAGTCCTGGGATTAATTTTCCAGTAATGCTCTGTTTTTAGTGTTTCTTTGAGGATTGCTCAACTTCAGATTTTGAGTAGATTTTGTTGAGAACTTTTATAACTTCTTTGGAATTTTTTCATGTGGATAAAATAAGAGGAGATGGACAGTATCGGTGTCTTTAACATTTTTTTTTTAGCAGTTTAGGTTTTTTTTCAGTCAAGTTTTATGATGAAGCCCAATATGTACAGCACATTAAAACAGAACATTATTGTCTGAAGTGTGGGATGGTATCCTAGCCATTGCTTGGTTTCTCTCTCAACATTGCATGATAGTCCTTTCTCCATAAAACCTTTCACGATCCCTAAAGTTACATGGAAATTCACTGGGTTAGGTTATCTAAAAATTCTATCAAGTTCTAAGATTTTACATGCAATACATTGATTATTTGCTCTCTTTTTTGGTCCAAAAGTAACAAGCAAGATTACAGGTAATTAGATTGCTTTAAAATCCTCTAGGAGATGCTAATGTCCTTTAAACATTAGAGAGGTGGGAAGAAAAGGAAGAACAGAAGAAAAGGCAGAATATAGTATATCGACAGATTCTAATTCTTTGAATTATAAGGCAGTGAGACTAGCCCTTGGGACCTCTTAAGATTATGCTGCACAATTCAGACTTTGTTGTTCTGTCTGCCTCTACTTTAGTCTTATGTGGATTGAAATATCAGCAGTGGTATATAATGCTCCTTGTTCCGAAGTCACAATAATTTATTCCTGTGGACCTCACTCTCTGTCTTTACTTTAGATGCTGTATTAGTTTTCTATTTCTGCTGTAACAAACTACCACATATTTGGTGGCTTAATACAAGTTTATCATTTCACAGTTCTATAGGAAAGGAATCTTACATGAGATTAGCTGGGCTAAAATCAAGATGTAGGCAGGGCTGTATTCCTTTCTGGAGGCTCTAGGTAAGAATGTTTCCTTGCCTTTTCCAGCCTATAGAAGCTGCCTGCATTCCATGACTTATGGCTCCCTTTCTCCATTTTCAAAGTCCTTCTTACACTGTATCTCTGTGGTTCTCTGCAGTCTAGAAAGATGCTTCCATTTAAAAACATTCATGATTAGAATGGGTCGAGCTGGGTAATCCAGGATGACTTTCCCATCTCAACCCCTTAACCTTAATTGTAATCTGCAGAGTCCCTTTTGCCTGATAAAGTAATATATTCACAGGTTCTAAGTATTAGTCGACCATCTGGGAGCCATTATTCTGCCTACTACACAGATCCATACGACCAACAAACAAATTTTTAAAATTTTGGAAGTATTATAGTTGATTGGAAGGACATATCCTTAATCTTGGTTACAAAGTGGGCCAGATATTAAGGAAACTTTTATAAGCTCTGTAGAAAGCAATTTGTCAAAATACATTAAGAACTTTAAAATAGTTTACTCATTGTAAGTTATTTCTCAATAAAGCTGGAAAAAATTAAAATAATAAAAACAAATAAGTAGGTCCCACTGCACAGAAAAATAAATAGATAAAAATTTAAAGGTTCACTTTATTTCTAGAAATTCGTTCTATGGAAATCAGAAATGTATAAAAAGATTTATGTGTTTAAGTTGATCACTGTGATATTTATAAAATTAAAAGCTGGGAACACCATGAAAGTTTAATAATAAGATACTGGTCAAATAAATGATGATATATCTAAGATAGGATATCATGTAGTTATAAAACTTACAACAAAAAAATCATTTGGAACATTTTCACTGTGTATGTTAAATAAAACAGAAGATGCAAAACTAGATATACAATGTGATCCAGCTAAAGTTCATAGGAATAAAACTGGAAGATAAAGAGCAAAAGATTAACAGTGGTTATTTTTGGTGATAGCATTATGTTTGATTTTTTAAAATTTTGTACAAAAGCATGTCTAGTCACCATCAGTAAGCTTTTTTGTACATACTCATCCTCACCTTTTGGGCAATATGCTTTAGTATTTTGTTTATATCCCTCGATCAGGCTTTAATGTTTAACTTGCAGATATTTAAGGGAATTCTCAGTGGATTCTGGAAACTGGTTATTTACTGGATTCTACTATATCATGGTTCTAAAGAGGAAGTAGGCCCTTTGAAACTCTAGTAATAGACTCCCTGGTTGTAAAGCCTGTTGTATAACTTGCTTTCTGAACAAATGGGAAGGCATTTAAATTCACATTTTAGACTGCTGGGGACCTTCTCTTCCCTCCAGCTGCTGTCCTGTCTCTCTCCTTTGTTTCACTGTAGAGGCCCCCAAATAGTTACATTAAATGTCTCAGTTTGCTTACCTCCTGCCTATCCATTGGTTGTTAAATGTTTTCTTAGTTTTGTCAGAGTTAAACATGCACAGTTCATAGAGTCAGAATTACAATTTTTGTTACAAAATGATGTGGTTACCCAACCTCTCTCCACCCTCTGCTGCCATTTCTTGTATTTTCCAGATGCAACGAATTTCAATCAATTATTATAATATTAATTCTCCATCTCCAAGTATCATGCTTATATTGCTCCTTAATTTCTCTGTTTTAGGTTTTACATATAGCTTCCACTATGAAAAATGGGTAACACGTTTATATACCATTGCCACTATCATTCCCTGTTCCACCTTATACTCATATTTTTCACATGCTCATGTTCCCAAAATACCTATATAATAATTTTTATTTGACCAGATACTCAGTCTTTACCTTCATAGATAGATAGTATTCACCTTACAGATAAAGCATTTAGTATACTATGGTTAATTTTTCTTTCCTGAACATTAGGAAGAAATTTCCTTGAGTTAATAACCTTGTTTTTACATTGTGTTTAGTTTTCTCACCAATTTATCCCCAAACTCTTCCTTAATTATGTAAATCTTCAGCATGTTCAAACATAACTATCAGTTTTGTCTTCTTAAAGAAGGTATCTCTTGCATCCTTCTGATCTACAATCTGGATTGGTGATCTGTAGACCTACTGGATAGCTTTTGGGGTTTCCTTCCATCATCATTCTAGAAATTCTTTTCATCATTCTCTTGTGTAAATAACTTATTTCCCAAAATTCCTGTCTTCTTTTTTTTCTTAGTTTATTCTCTTGTTTTGGCCAAGGATCTTACCCTAATAGCTTCAAGGGTAAGGGCACAAACTAGATAAAATTATTGTGATCTTGTATACTTGAAAATATTTTTATGGAATCTTCATATTTATTTGATAAATTGACTGAGTACAAGAATTCTAGGTTTGATTTCATGCCCAGAATTTGTAAAATACTATTCTACTGTCTTCAGGCTTCCAGTGTTGTTGGTTGAGAATCCAGTAATATTGATTTTTTGACGATACTTCTTTTCTCCTGTCTGACAACTTGTGGTATCTTCTCTTGTATCATCCCCAGAGTCCTCCACCAAAATGACAACAAAGGAATTTCTTAAAGGTTGCCCAAGGACAAGAGATGGAAAAGGAGACAGTAGCAACACAATTTAGAAGGTGTAAAACATGTAAATAAATGACAGCTGACTTGGTAGAGCTAAGAAAGTGAATTCTAAGTTGCAGAAGGGAAAGCCAAAAAAAAAAAAAAAAGCAGCTTCATTTACACTGTAAAACCCCAAAGGCTTAAGAATTGACTATACTTACAAGTTGGATTGGGTTGAAGAGGGAGCTTAAATTCAAGAAGAATTGCTTGAAAGCTATTTAAGAAACAGGGACTTGAGTTTCCAGAAAGATGGGAGTAGACATACTTTTCCCTTTCTTTCGTATCAAGTACAACTAAAAACTCTGGACTATACATATAAACAACTATAAGATCTGAAAGTTGGAGAGAAGGCAGGTAGGCCAGGGACCTTGTGACTTAGGGAATGACATGATGATGAGTTCCCTAGGCGTTGCCTCATATATCCTAAACTGGGTACCAGAGGAGTGGGAAATCTGGAAACAACAGGTGTAGGGAAAAAGAGAGGTCCCTCCAAAAGCCTGCTTTCTCTAGTCAAAGTCAGGAAAAGGGTAGCCAAACACCACAGAAAAAAACTGCTGCCTCTCACTTCCGTCCTTCAAGAAAAGACCAAGAGAAGAGCCTAGACTTCCAACCTTGCCAAGCTGTAATAAGGCGCACTAGCCCTGCTGCCAGAGTGATACTAGAGGAAACCTAGTGGGCAGAAGGTTGGGGGCTGGGTGGTAAGGAACTTTCCCTGCTCCCCACGGTGTAGACTACACGGGAAGCCTGGACTCTGTCCACCCTCTGCAGGGGTGGTGTCAGAACAGACCTAGTGGAGAATCAGTACTTTGACCACCACCCCTGGATGTCAGTGGAGACAATGTGATGGGCAGTAATAAGGTGCTCCCCCTGTCTCTCTGCCAGGGCGGTGTCAGTGGAGGCCTAATGGAGAATCTGAGCCCCCACCCCTGAATAGCATAATGAGCAGACACTTTACCCCTCAGTGTCAGAGGCTGAGTGGAGAATCTGGACTTCTGTCCCCATCTGGCAGTAACAAGGTGGTAACCTCTTTTCCAAGCCAGACTGGTGTCAGAAGAAGAATGATAAAAGATTTAAATAAGATCACGACTCATAATACTCAAAATGTCCAGGTTTCAATAGAAAATCACTTGTTATTACTTCTCAATCACTCCTAAGACTCAGGAAGATCTCAACTTGAATGAAATAAAACAATAGATACCAACACTGAGATGACACAGATGTTAGAATTATCTCACAAGGATTTTAAAGCAGGCATTGTAAAAATGCATCAGTGAGCAATTACGAACACATGCTAGAAAAATGAAAAAACAAATCTCTGCAAGGAAATAGAAAATCTCTGCAAATAAATGAAAGACAAAGAAAAACCAAAGTTTTAGAACTAAAAAAATATAATAACTGAAATAAGAAACTCGTGGCTGCACTCAACAGAAGAGTAAAGAAAAAGGAAACTGGACTTGAAGATGGAATTACAAATGACCTCACTGAACCTCCTAGAGAAAATAGGCTGAAAAAAAAATGAACAGAGCCTCAGGGACACGTTGGACTATAACAAAAGACCTAACATTCATGTCTTCAGAGTCTTAGAAGAAAGGAAAAAAGGTTGGGCTGAAAAAAAAAAAAAAGGGAAGTAATGGCTGAAATTCCCCAAACTTGGCAAAAGACAAATCTACAGATTTACAAAGCTAGCTTGAGAAGTATGGTTAAGGATGGGAGTATCCCACTGGAAAGAAGGGAGTAAGTGACAGTGACAGTCTACTGGTACTGAATGTTAGGATCCTTTGCCTTCTACTCCAGTTCTGCTTCTAGAATAGAGGCAGCTAAGATATATCCCTCTGGGCATGAGAGTTGGAAGATTTTTCTATGGTCAGTTCAAAAGAAAAGACCCAGAGTACCAATATGTGAAGTTCCCATGGAAAACATCCTACAGTGAATCCAGAGTAGACGTGTTCCACTCACACACACAGACCTTCCAGTTACCTTTATAGTGCTCCACTCTTAAATATGAGCAGACAGAAGGGTCACCAGACATTTGAGGAAACTCTAATATCAAAAGGGTGGTTAAAATAGCAGAAAAGACATTTGGAAGAAACATGATAAGGAGAAGATAAATACACACATATATAAAACTGTATTCTCAGAAAAGATAAAGCATTCATGAAACAAGAACTGGAACTGATATGATGGGAAAATTCCAAGAAAGGAAGAGAGCTTTTGGAAATTAAAAATATGATAGCAGAAGTGAAAAACTTTAGTTTTAGAAGGATTAGAAGCACTAGAAGATAAAGTTGAGTAAATCTCTCATAAAGTAGCACTGAAGGCCTAAGAAATGAAAAGAGAGGAGAGTAATTAGGGGATCAAGTCCAACATCCAAATAAATGTTCCAGAGAGAGAACATGAGGGGAGGAGAGGAGGAGGAGAAGGAAGTAGGAGAAGTAGGAAGAGGAGAAAACAAGAATAACAGGGGAAAACAAATTGTCAAATCATGAAAGTTTCCCAGAGCAAAAGGATATGAATTTCTAGATTGAAAGGTCCCACTAGTTGTCTAGCACAGAGTGAAATTTGAGAATATGAAGGCCGAAGAGAAGGTCAAGGAATATTAGAGAAACAATAGGTTCATGTAAATGGTCAAGAGGCAGAATAGCATTGGACATCTCAACAGTAACTTTAAAAGGCTAAGAAGATGTATTTTCAAGAAAAGTGGTATTCTAACTTAGAATTCTATGCTACCAGTTAAGTATAAGAGTAGGAAAAAAGTTTTCCCTTTTCAAGGATGCCACATAGTTGGGATCACATGGTATACAACCTTTTCAGATTGGTTTCTTTCACTTAGTAACATGTATTTAAGGTTCCTCCATATCTGTTCATGGCTTGATGGCTCATTCCTTTTTAGCACTGAATAATATTCCATTGTCTGGGTGTACCACAGTTTATCCATTCTTCTATGAAGGACTTAACTGGTTATTTCCAAGTTTTGGCAGTCATTAATAAAGCTGCTATAAGTAACGTTAGGTAAATAAATTCTACCTAAAAATAATTTTACTGGATGTGTACTTAATAAATTTCAAAATTGATTATTGGAAGTGTTTGTTTTTTCAGCTTTGTGATATAATTGAAAAAATTGAAAGATAAGGTGTATAATGTGATGATTTGATATAAATACATATACATTGTGAAAGGATTTCCCCCCATTAAATTAACTAACACATCTATCACTTCACATATTTACCCTCTCTTTTTTAGTGAAAACATTTAAGTTCTCTCTTAGGAAATTTCAAATATACAATATAATATTATCAACTATAGCCACTATGTTATATATTAGGTCCTCAGAAAAATTAATTACTTATACTAAATATTAACACAAAATTAAAAATTAACAGAAATTGGTAAAAGGGTACAAATTTTCAGTTATAAGTTATTAATTTTTAAAGCTACTGTCAACTCTGGTTCTCAGGCACTGGTTTTCAGACATGCTGGAGGTTATCACTATATTTTGGTGAAATGAGACAAGTAAACAATATAGTGTGTTGTTTATGAAGCTAAATTTATTCAATTTCAGGACTTTACTCTTTGATTATGTTCTTTCTACTTTTTTTGGTATTTGATTGCTCCTTCTTTTACAAATAATGTAATATAAATAGTAGGATTTTTAAAAACATACTTTCATGGCAAAATCAGTCAAAAAATTTTTGTAATTCTACTGTTTTATAAAATCCAAAAATCTGGAAACTCAAACTTAGGCAATTCCTCTCATGAACCTTAAAAACTAACATAATTTAGTCTATCAAAATTCATCAAATTGTACATCTAAAACATGTGTAGTTTACTATATAGGAATAATACCACAATAAAGGTGTTAAAAAAACTAATGTTATTTAAGAAGTAGGGCTTGAAAAGTTGTATTGACATTTTATTTAACATTGATCTAATTATTATTATGTATATTGATCGTTAGAGAAGTCATAAAAACTTAAAAGAAGAAATTTTAAGTGGCTCATACATGAGATAGAATCCTTGTGGTTTACTTTCACATGTAATTACAAATTTTATCACATTTATCTTAGGTGACTTGTAAACCATGCCCAAGCTCATCATCTTGTTTCAATGTTACTGTTTCTGTTGCTGAGCCCTTTTCTTCTAACGTTGCAAATCTTCCAAGGAATTTGGTCAATGAGGTTTTGGAAGAGCTAGAGCATAATGTGCCTCTCTCGGAAGTGCACCCTGTGGAAGGACAAGATTCTGCTTTACATGACATTGCTTTGGCCTTGGAAGTCGTAAGGTATTAGAGCTTCTTACTTCTTCAAGTTCTCACATTCAAAAAGTTAACTTAATCTGTAAGTTTTATTCATACAGGCACTTTATTTGATTTAATTTTGTTGCTGAATTCATCCGTTTTTAGTGAATATATTTGTAACTCTTACTTGAAACATTTTCTCTTGCAGAAGTATTATATATGGGCAATGAAGTTTGCAATTTTTTGATATTATATGTTACGAAAATTGAGTTTTAAAAAGTTCTGGAAATATGTAACACTAAATTCTGTTCATATTTAAGCTTCTTAAATATATTAGATTTCATTTTTCACATTTAAAGTCATTACAGATACTAGATACCATCATCCCCATTACAAATTGATATCATTTGAGAGAGTTATCCATGAATATAGTAAAGAATATCTGGGGGCATGCTTTTATTTTTTCAATGCTCCCTCAACAATACACAATACAATTATATCTCAAGTATTATTTCTTTGGTAAACAAAATCATAGCCACAATCTATGAAATTTGGAACTTGAATTTTACAATCCCACTTCAAGAAACATCTTATCTGTAATAACCTAAAATAGAATCCAGATCTATTTTTTAAAGTTTTACTTTTAATATTAGTTCACTGAAAGATCATTTTAAAATATTTTTCTTAGCAATTAAGATTCATATAAAGATTTCTGACATCAGAATGTCTTTTTAATTCTGAACCTGCTGCTGGCTGATTTTGATCACTGTCACCTCAATTTGATTTATCATAGGTTTTTTTATGAATTTCTTTGGAGGGACTGGGATGATGAAGAAAGTTGTGAGAATTACGCTGCTTTGATTGAAGAAAGAATTAATTTGTAAGTATAGCTAAAAACTTACTCATCACATTATATAAGATAGATGTTGTAACTGTACTGTTACTTTTCAGGTGGTGTGATATGCAAGATGGAACAATACCTGGTCCTATTGCACAACGTTTCAAAAAAACTTTGGAGAAGTATAAAAACAAGCGTGTTGAGCTCGTTGAGTATCAGAGCAATATTAAAGAAGATCCATCTGCAGCAGAGGCTGTTGAATGCTGGAAAAAATACTATGAGATAGTAATGCTCTGTGGATTATTGAAAATGTGGGAAGATTTACGTCTCCGGTAATAACTTGCTCTATTTTAAATGGAAACAAAAAGATTACATGGTCATTCTTTTATCGTATCACTTAACTTGTCATATATGTTACCCTGATTGAAATAGATTATTAAAGTAGATGTCCAGTTTCTCAGGTAAGCACAAAGTGCAGCTACCAACTTTGGAAAATTATTTTTATATTAGCTGAATTCACTGAAATCATTGCTTTGGATTTTTTTGATGAAAAAAAAATCTCATACCAAGATTTAAAAAAGAAAAAAAAGAGAAAAATTTTCATAAATCTAGTTTTTTCCTTACCTTTTTTCTTTACCTTCTTTTCTCCTCCTCCTCCTTTTCCTCCTTCTGCTTCCTCCTAATCTTCCTTCTCTTCTCTTCTTTTTCCTCTTCTTCTCCTTCTTGACTTTGGCCAGAACATAGGAAAAGAGTAGTTAGACCTTCTCCACATGTAATATGCAAAGTAGATAGAGAGTTGACTAAATTGGCTGTCTCATAATTTCTTCTTTTCTAACCGAAATAAGTTAGTAAGTTGTTTTTGATGATAAAACAATGCAGATTTAAACAGCGTCATTCTCCAGAATACTTCCAACTGTATTAAAATACGTATTTACATTACTGTGCAGTAAAGTATATATTTCTGTCTTTATTTTAAGTTGAGAGGAAACAAGAAGTCTTGCTCATGCTCCCAAAATTATGGAAAATCTTGAGTGCAGCCAAAGGACTTAACAACTGTTTCATACGTAATTGTTAAACTCCTTCCTTGTGTTCCACCTTGACTCATTCTTTGCCTTAGGAATTCTGAGCCATATTTTATTTGTCTTAACTATTAATTATTAGCCTAAATCTTTTTGCATTTTCTTTCCAGTTTGACCTTTTAAGAAAATCACTAACAGTCTCATTCTAGTGCCTGTTTCTGACGTTTCATTGTTAATTTGGATTCCTGTGTGATAAAACCTTAGGATTACTTTGGGAAATTAGCATAGGTAAGATTTTTGAAATCCACTTATCTAGAAATCCAGATTCAAAAAACCCTGAACTTTCTTCAATACAAGCCTTATCATCACTTGGCTTTAGATTCTAATGGTGAAAGGCAACACAGAGTTCTGTCATCTTAAAAGTTATAATCACAGAAAATCTCATTATGGGCTGGTGGTCAATTGGTCAAACCCTTCCATAGATAACAATTGTGAAATCAGGACAAAACATTAAAAGTCTCCACCTATTTGAAGGTACTACGAAATGACCAGAAGCAGGCAGCAACCAGAAAAGTTTATCCTTAAAACGTATTTATCCTTGGAATGGGTAAGAAATGGGAACTTGTGGCTTTCTTGTCTAATGGTCATCAGTTCTCAGATCTGGCAGCAAAGAATGCAGTCTAACTGTTTCAAGGTGTCAGAGGACAGAGTTCAGGCTGGCAGGGCAGCTGGAAATTTAGTTAGGATATTCTGAAAGTGGGAGAACTGCAGAAAGGGTGAGACCTCAAATTTGAGCATAAAGTCTGCTTAGCTCCTTGGCTGCCCACTAAACTATGCTAGCAGTGACAGAGGAGAGAAATCTGGGAACTTTGCTAAATAAGGAATCATGATGTTGAAGCATGGAAATTGAGAGAACTGAGCAGAGATGTCAGCTGCTGCATACCTCTAGGGAAACATTTTGCATTTTGAAGCTAGGCAAGCTAACTGCCTGCTAGAATGCAAGACTAACAATCCTTAGAAGAACATAACACAGTCCAGAGTTACTAGGATCCAAAGATTCTCTTTGGATAGAATTATCCAGAATCTCCAGTGTTCAGCCAAAAATTAATAGACATGCAAAGAAACTGGAAAATTAGATCCATACTGAGGAAAAAGGTGAGGTAATAGAATCTGATTTTGAGTGGGCCAGATGTTACATTTGTCAGATGAAAACTTCAAAGCAGCTATCATAAGTATGTTCAAAGAGTTAAAGGAAAATGTACTGTTCATAAGTATACAGAGAATCTCAACAGAGAAATTAAAACTATAAAACAGAACCAAGGATTTCCAGATTCTGCTCTGACTTGCAAAGGGCTTATGAGTTATCACTCCTATCCTTACAAGAAAAAAGGTGAACAAACTGAAAATTACTTTCTTGGACCCATTATAGAACTGAGATCACAGGGCAAACTGCCACCCTGAAATCTGGAGAGAGAGGTAAATTCAGAGTCACAGCTAAGAACTTATTACCTTGAACAGAGCCCACCAGAGCCATAAATTGTAAGAACATTTAAATGGTAATTTTGATAGATTGCTGGAGGCTGAATGTTGACTATTTTGAGAGTGAGAAACTCCTGGAGGGCTGCTGTTCTTAGGGAGACCCCATACCTTTGTGTATTTTTACCTCTGGGAATCTCACTAGGTTCTCAGGTAAATAGCCTAGAAAGATCCCATTGTGACTCTGGCAAGGTGAAGAGAAAAGTAAGCATTTTGAAATACACCCAGAGCATGCTCCATAACAAAGATCTGCTCCCCTGGGGAAAAAACTTTTACCAGAGCTTTTTCCCACCTAGAGGAAGGGCATTTCCCTAACTCTGTCCCACTCTAGCCTGCCTATCTGGAGAAAGAGGGGATTAAGAAACACTTGTGAAGATTGTGTCCAGGGACATAGACCCCCTAAAAGACTGATACTTAATCATAAGAGTACAGAACACTTCCTCTCTGCTAAACCTTAAAATGATACCGACAGGGCTCCAGTATAATAACTGGATTATAGTGAAAAGAGCTGCAAGACACAAAATCTTCTACAGAAGAGTTTTAAAGGAGGCCCAAAGATATAGAGGATACAGAAATATGGAAACTACTGGAATGTGAAGCCTCTGAAACCTAAAGCTGCACCAAACAAACACAGGCTATCTCCTGGTCAGATTAATATAAAACCTCACACTAAAAGCCTATCTACCTTACTTCCTATTAGCCAATACATCATGCCTGGCTTTCAACAAAAAATTGTAAGACATGCTAAAAGGCAAGAAAAAACTAAGAGGGAAAGCAAGCATATGAAACAGACCCAGGTATGACTTTGAAATTAATCAGAAAGGAAATTTAAAATAACTATGATTAATATGTTAAAGGCTTTAGTGGAAAAAAAAAAGTACACAACATGGAAGAGCAGATGTAGACAGAAGATGGAAACTGTAAGAATGAATTAAGATGGGGGAGGGTATATCTCAGTGGTAGAGTGCGTACCTAGCATGCATGAGGTCCTGGGTTCAGTCCCCAGTGCCTCCAGTAATAAATAAATAAATAAATCTAATTGATTCCCTTCCCCCAAAAGCTCACAAAAATAATATAAAATAGTCACTTAGTAAAATTTTCCAAAAAAATTAAATCTTCAAAAAAAAAGATAATGCTAAAAATCAAAAACATTGTAAACAGAAATGAAGAATACCTTTGAAAGACTTAATAAATGGGACACAAGTGAGGAAGGAATCAGAGAGCTTGAAGATATATCAGTAGAATTGTCTCAAACTGAAATGTAAAGAGAAAAAAGAGTGAAAGAAAAAAAAAAACAGAACATCCAAGAACTGTGGAACAGTTTCAAAGAATGTAGCTTCTGTGTAATTGGAATACCAGAAGAGAAGGGAGCAAATGCAGCAGAAAAAAAAAAATAATAGTGGTGAAAATTACCCCCAATTAAATGCAGACACCAAACCACCAATCCAGGAGGCTTAGAGAACACCAAAGAGGATAAATGCCAAAAAAATGTATAAATTAGGCAATATCATATTCAAACTGAAGGAAACCACAGATAAAGAAAAAATCTTGAAAAAAGCCAAGGGGGTAGGGGGGCAACCTTACCGATAGGTGACAAGAGTGAGAAATACAATAGATTTCTTATAAGACACCATGAAAACAAGATGAAAGCGGAATGAAATAGTCATATGTTGAAAGAAGACCATCATCTGAGAATTCTATATCCAGTGAAATTATGCTTCAAAAGTTAAGGGGAAATAGCTTTCTTAGCCAGAAAACGAAGGAAATTTGTCGCCGATAGACTGGCCCTGCAAGAAAGGCTAAAGGAAGTTCTTGAGGGAGAAGAAAAGTTATTAAAGGTCAGAAACTCAGATCTATATATACAAAAGGAGAGCTTTGGAGAAGAAATAAAAGAAGGGAAGATAAAATCCTTTCTTATTCTCAATTGGTCTGAAAGCTACCTATTTAAAATAATAGTATTTATGCTATTAGGTGATAATAGTATATGGATTGGTTAAATAAGTGACGGTAATATCAGAAGGGATGGGAGGGGAGAATTGGGAAAATACTCTATTAAAAGGCACCTGTACTGCACGTGAAGTAGTATAGTGTTATTTGAAGATGGACTTAGTTACAAATGTATGTTACCATCTATATGGCAAACTAATTTTTCTTTAAATTGATATGTTCACATGTTGATTACCCACTGTGGATTGGGTGGGTTTCCTATGGGGCCCAAATTCACATTTCACCACCGTGTGATGCACTAACAATATATGTGCTTATAATTAATCTGTTTTTCCAGTATCATTAGAATTGTTTTAAAAAACAAAGTTTTATTTTCAATTTTCAACCTCTTTACAGTTTTATTTCTTCTTGGAATGTCATTATTCTGCATGAAATAAATTCAGAATAAATTGTGCATAATTGGATGAAGGAAAGCATCACCCATATCTGGGTGAGGGAGTCGCTGAGGAAACACAGTTGTCACCCAGATTTGAATGACATGGCAAATAATGTGTTAAGAGGGTAGATAAAATGGAATCACAAAATGCTCAGCTAAAACTAGAAGAGGCAGAAAAGAAGGGGAAAAATAATAAAACAAATAGAAGAGTGTTACAAATATACTAGATATTAATCCAACTATATCAATAGTCACTTTATTTTTTATTGAAGTATAGTTGATTTATAATGTTTGTTGGTTTCTGATTGCAGCATAATGATTCAGTTCTACAGACAAATATATTTTTTTCAATTCTTTTTCATTTTAGGTTATTACATGCTATTAAATATAGTTCCCTGTGCTATACAGTAGGACCTTGTTGTTTATCTATTCTGTATATAATAGTTTGTATCTGTCAATCCCAAACTCCTAATTTATACCCCCTCCTTTCCCCTTTGGTAACCATAAATTTGTTTTCTATGTCTGTGAGTCTGTTTCTGTTTTATAAATAAGTTCACTTGTGTCACTTTTTTAGATTCCACATATAAGTGATATCATATAATATTTGTCTTTGTCAATTTTTGACAAAGGAAATGAAATGGAGAAAGGATATTCCTTTCAAAAATGGTGTTAGAATAATTTGAGTATTCATATGCAAAAACATGAACTAGATACAGACCTTACACCTTTCACAAAATTAATTCAAAGTGACCCATATACCTAACTGTAAAATAAACTCTATGACTTCTAGAATAAAATAGGAGAAAAACCTGTGTGACCTTGGGTTTGGCAATGAGGAGTTTTTAGATATAACACCAAAAGTATGATCTATGAGAGAAAAAAATGATAAATTATTTTATTAAGATGAAAAAGTTCTACTCTGTGAAAGACACTTAAGGGAATGAAAAGTAAGCCATAGATCTGGAGAAAATATTTGCCAAAAGTATCTAATGAAAGACTTGTATCTAATATATATGTAAATCTCTTAAATTGCATCCATAGGTAGCAAATAGCCCAGTTAAAAATGGGAAAAGGATTTGGACACCTCACCAAAGAAAATATATAGATGGTAAATAAGCATTTAAAAAGATGGTCAACATTGTCATTAGGGGATTACAAATTAAAATAAGAATCCATTACAACCTATTAGAATGGTTAAAAAAGCAAAAAAAAAACACAAAAAAACACCAATCTGCCTATACCAATTACTGGCAAGGATGTGGAGCAATAGGAATACATTCATTGTTTATGGAAATGCAAAATAGTACATCCTCTTTGGAAGACAGTTTGGGTAGTTTCTTAAAAGCTAAACTTAGTCTAACCATACAACCCAGCAATTGTACTCCTAGTTGATATTTACCCAAATACATTGAAAACATATCCATATGAAAACCGCACAGATAAAAAAAGAATTAAGGAATCATGTGAGCAATCATATGCCAACAGATAACCTAGATCAAAAACCTATGATCAATAACCTATGATCAATATGATATCATATATCATATGATGTTGATCATATATCATATGATCAGTAACCTAAAATCTATAATCAAAAACCTGAACCTATGATCAAAAACCTAAAATCAATAACCTATGGTCACAAAACTGTCTCAGGCAAAAGCAGAGAATTTGAATGGACCTAGAGCAACTAAGGAGATTAACGAATTCAAGAAACTACTCACAGACAAAACCAAGAACCAGATGTCTTCATTGGTGAATTCTACCAAATGTTTAAAGAAAATGAATACCAGTTCTTTATAAACTTTTCCAAAAAGTGAAAGAGAAGGGAACACCTCCCCAACTCATTTTACGAAGCTACTGTTGTTACCCTGATACCAAAACTATCGAAAGACATCACAAGAAAACAAAACTACAGAAAATATTCTGCATACAGATGCAAAATTCTCAATAATACATTAACAAACTGAGTCTAGCAACATATAAAAAGAATCAGATATGACCAAGTGGGATTTATCCCAGTAATGCAAGGTTGGTTTAACATATGAAAATAAATTAATGTAATACACAATAAAGCCACATTATCATTTCAATAGTCACAGAAAAAGCATTTGATAAAATTCAACACTCACTCATGATAAAAATTCTCAAAATCTTAGAATAGAATTGATCTTTCTCAACCTGTTTTAGGTTTTTTATGAAAAACCTATAATGAACATCATACTTATTGGTGAAAGAATGAATGTTTCCCCCTTTAAGACCAGAAACAAGACAAGGATGTCCACTCTTGTCACTTCTATTCAAATTGTACTAGAGGTTTTAGCCAGAGCAGTAGTCAAGAAAAAGGAAATAAAATACCTCCAAGTCAGAAAGGAAAAGATGAACTTCTCTATTTACAAATAACAGGATCTTGTATGTAAAGAATCCTGTAATGAAATAATGCTCAGCAGTATAAAGAAATTGCTGATATACAGAATAACATGATGAATCCCAAAATAGCCTGACTGAAAAAAGACAGACACAAGAGAGTACATACCATCTTCCACTTTAAAATTCTCTTTAAAAATTCCAAGAAAGGGAAATCTATGACAGAAAGCAGGTCAGTGGATTTCTGGGAGTTTGTGTGGAGGACTGACTGCAAAGATGCATGGGGAGTTTATCTGTGATGGGAATATTTTGTATCTTGATTATTATGAGTTAAATGGGTGTATACATTTGTGAAATCTTATAGAATGGTTTACTTAAAATAGGGTACAATTTTTAAAAATCTGATAAATGTCCTTTAATTTTAAAACTAGGATTGTATCATAAACTACTGGGTTTCCTGCATGCATGATGTTTTTCTTTTTGAACAACTAATAATTAGGTATATGGTGAAAAATCATGAATATTTTTCTTTCTCAAAATCAAAACCACTTGCTTAAATTGGTGTAAAAATGCTAAATGGCTTTGATTTTGAAGTATTAAGTCAAACTTTTGCTTTGGAGGACATTGCTAATATCTTGGAATTTGAAATTTAATAATTGGCATGATAAAGTTTTAAAAGCAACTTCCTGAAATGTTAAGCTTCAAAAAATATCGATAATTGAAATATAAGCTGAAAAATATTGGTACTAATGCTGCATTCCATTAGCATCAAGCAGTAATCAAAGTGCTGCAGAGAACTGAAAAGATGATACCTGAGGAGACTACTGGTAAATCTACATCTATTGGAAAAGGAGTGGCCCTTTTGGCTGACAGTAATGGTAAAAGTTATACTCAATTTTTTTCCTTCATTTGATGACACTTAAATGATTGATAGGAAACAGGACCTGTAAAGAGAAGCATAAAGAAGAGAATGAGTGGAATTAACTAAAAGTGCTGAACAGTAAACAGAAAACCAAATGAAGAGATAAGCTGGAGTTATTCTGCTGGGAGGCCAGCAGCCAGCTGTATCTATGGGGACTTTATCCTTTGAAACAAACAAAAAAATCTGTTAATTAAACATAGTATCTAAAATTAGGCTTGTCCCCAAAACATCTTATACCTCAGTGTCACAGACATAACCCACCTCTCAATTGCATGGATTATGAAAGTACAATCAAAAAATTTTCTACCATATTGGAAAGTTGAGATAATTGTCGTATTGATTGTAGTAGGTTGCATGTAGACTTTCACTAAAATGAAAATATTTCATAGTACAAAGGTTTAAATACTCAGTTATCTTAAAGATTTCAGTCATTCTATTGCTCTCAAGTTGCTCTTTGCTCTCCAGAAGCTTAGAGATAGTGAAACCTATTTCAACTTTTATTTTCTAAGTATATGTTGAGTATTTTTCATGTTAATTTAACCATAAATAATGTTTTCAACCTTAGAGTTCATGGGCCATTTTTTCCAAGAATTCTGAGGCGTAGGAAAGGAAAAAGAGACTTTGGAAAGACTATAACACACATCGTAGCAAAAGTGATGACTACTGACATGGTAAGAAATACACTTTTTTATTTGTTCATTTAAGTTTTAGCTGCATATCATCAGAAAAGTAAAGACATTTAATTTGGTTAACTGGAAGGATATTTAGGACATCAATTGAATAGAGAATACAGAAGGACTAGAGATGGGCTGTGTACAAAAAAATAATAAATTGAAATTTAGAACTGTTGTATGTTAGTGAGACATGAGGTAAAGATGCTGAGAACTTGTAGTAATGTTGGTCAGTGAAGCACACAAGCAATAAGGGTAAGAGAAAAGGGAATAAATTTGCTGAAAAACCACTGTGTGCCAGGCACTGCCAGGGATTTTACACATCTTATTTCATCCTCAGGAAACCCTATGTGGTATCAGTGGTGGTGGTGGTGGTGGTGGTAGCAGTAATAGTAAGCATTTTCTGAGTACTTACTACAACCATTAAAAACTAGGCTTTGAAAAAATATTTAAAGGCACGGGAAAATGTGATACATAAATGCAATGAAAAAAATCCGGATTCAAAACCATATACATCTATGGTATGATATACTGGTATTGTGAATAAATGAATATATGTATGGAAAAAAGACAAGAAGGAAATATCTATATAAATATATTTTATTTAGGTAAAAATTTATAGGTTAAATTTTCCATATTTGTTATGCTTTGTTTCATTTTCTGTGGTTTTTAAACAAGTGCCCCTCTTATAATAAAAAAAGATATGGGACTGATAATGCCATCCTACTGGGATAAAATAGGCTTTTTTTCAGAGTGTATTTTTAGTTTCTAAATTTTGTTTTTTGAAGTTCTTTCCCCTTTTCTACTCCCAGTGCAAATTTCTGGTATTTCTGTTAGTTCTAGAATCTGTAATATATAGATTTTTTTGATTTAGCAAAGTCATAGGGTCAGTTTGATTTAAAGAAAACAAAGTAGTAGTTTCCAGTAGGAAAGAGAGCTGGCATCATCAAAACCTAGAGCTAAAGCTTAGCTTCATTGCTCATTACCTCTACTTCCTTAAGCAAATCATTTCGTCTCACTGAGTGTCAGTTTCTTAACCTTATAAGGGGATAATAATACTTGACCTGAAGAACTGTTGTGAAGCTTAAGAGGTAGTATGTAAAGGTCCAGATATGACTTCTGGCTGTATTTAATTGCTGTAAAATTATTAGTGATTGTAAAGAAAACCTCCTTTCATCACTCCTTCATAGACTTGATACTTTGAGCAGTTAATGAACATAAATACATACAGTATTTACAGTATATTACCTATACAAGGCGAGTCTTTGGGAAAAGCACATGTTACGAATGAAGTTAACTGATTTAAATAATCTGTTTCAGTTTTACCTATTGTTTTGTTTCTTCTTTTCAGGTAAAGGACTTATCTTCCGACACACTTCTCCAGCAGCACGATGATTTGGATTTGGCTTTGGATAGTTGTTATAGTGGCGATACAGTAGTTATTTTTCCAGGAGAATATCAAGCTGTAAATCTTGCTTTATTGACTGATGACATCATTATAAAGGGTTAGCAGGGCATCCTTTGCAATCTTTTAATGTCTACATACTGGACAAATTGTATATCATAAACATGATTAATCAGATTATTAGACATTAGAAGAGTTTATGTTTCACAAAAATCCCTTATGTGCATTTTACAGTTAAGATTTTCCACTTGTTCAGGAGTATGTTTGTACAAGTGACCTTGTGTTGACATACTGTACCAGAGCAGATCGATCAATGAGACTGCTTCTTCCCCGTGACCGTGTAGCACTACAAGCACAGAGTCTAAATAAATGATCAAAAACAGAAAAAAACAAAAAAATACGTTCATCATATTTTCTATTAGCCCCATCTATATTTTTACCAAAACTACTTTTTGTCTGCTCTGTCTCCATAGCACTTGATACCACTTTCATAGGAAAACCCAGATGTAAGGCTCTATTCAAATATACTCAGCATTTTCTCAGAAAGTTTAACTCACATGCAAGCTTATTAAAATAGAAGTAGAAAAGCAGAGTTTACTGTCTGGCCAAAAGAAAAGACAGGTGTTTTAAACTTTGCCTATCACTTTAAAAACAGCAAAATTTTCACTAGATTTTTATGACTGTGATCATTTGATGACTGAAATTCAGTATTTTGCTGAATTATATGGGTTATAAGGATCATATTTGTAATTTTTAAAAATTGTAGCCTTCTTGAAGATCAAACCAATTTTTGGATTGATGTTAAATTTAAATGTTTGCTTGGACTACTTGTGGATGTGATTATGTTAATCTTATACCCTAATTCAAGAGTCTCTGCCAGTCTTTTTTAGTTATGGTAATTTATTATGAATTTGAAACCAGGTTATGGCAAGAGACTTTTTGTATCTTAGATATTTTATAGATGACTGTTGACTGTATAATATGGGAACTATGTAGTGGAATAAATATGTTGAATAAATACCCTAGGTATATTTAGATTCATTATAAACCCAGATTCTTCCACCATGTCATCAAAATAAGGACAAAAGATTATGTTTTCGTTAAGTATCTACTTAGTTAATTGAGTAATTACAGTATTATTAAAAATATGTGAAAAGAAAACTTAGTAATAACAAGTATTATTGAGTGACTAGAGGGCTTTAAGCTTTGGGATTGCTGATTGAATTATGTATTTTTTTCCCTATGAATCAGGAATTGGGAAGAGAGAGGAAATTATGATTACTTCTGAACCTTCTCATGACAGTTTTGTGGTGTCCAAAGCTGATAATGTGAAACTAATGCATCTGTCTTTGATACAACAAGGGACGGTTGATGGTATTGTGGTAGTGGAGTCTGGTCACATGACTCTAGAAAACTGTATATTAAAATGTGAAGGAACAGGAGTGTGTGTTCTTACAGGGGCTGCTTTGACAATCACAGACAGTGAAATAACTGGTGCCCAGGTATTTCATTTTATAAAATTTATGGCTTTGTATGGATAGAGACAACTTTGAGTGATCTTAATATGTAAACAAAGGGTAACAATTATTTTATCTTTGAATTGAATTATATAATTAAACTTAAGCACTGATAAAAATAAACAAAATGAAGACAAGAACAAACATAAGTGCTTGCTTTGGCAGCACATATACTAAAATCAAAATGATACAAAGATTAGAATGGCCCTTGCACAATGATGACACACAAATTTGTGCAGCATCCCATATTTAAAAAAAATAAAGGACAAACAAGTATGTCATAGTACGCTTAGGAAAAGTGAACTGCCTAAGTCCAAAGTAAGGAATTATTAGCCTTGAATTATGTGTGATTTTTTTAAAATCTAGGAATCCGTGGCTGTAAAACAAGTCATGAGTCAGTTATTTGATGGTTTACTTAAAAAGGAATAACTGCTTATAAGTTATCAGACATTGCTAGAAGGTATTGTGATCAGTTCTGACAGTTTGAGTCTAAAGATAACAATCACCAAAGATCATTAAAGGGCTAGAAAATTGAATGAAAAAAAGATTAAAGGGAGCAGAAAAATAAGACATTTTTATAGAATGACTTTTTCTTAATTTCTACTGAAATGAGGGAAATAGACCTTAAGAGCATTATGATGGATTTAGAATATGTATAAATAAATTTTTATAACTGTTAAAAATAATTGCTTAAAGAGATTTTTGACTCCCTTCTAGAGACTTCATTTGGAGTGGGAGACCAATGTAATGGAACATATGACTTCAACCTTCCTTCTGGGTCTAATGATTCTCTGACACAGATAATCTTTGTTTTCAACATTTTAAAACTTTATCTCCACAGTAAATTGTTGTTTGCACTATCACATATTTTCATGTAACTTAATGTGTTTAAATTGTTAATATAAAATTACAATTTTTAAATCTGAAGAAAATTTTGGAGAAGTATGTATCTTTTGTAGATTGTTTTATTTGCTTTTAATTTTCAGGGTGCTGGTGTTGAACTGTATCCTGGGAGCATGGCTATTTTGGAAAGGAATGAAATTCATCACTGTAATAACCTCAGAACCAGTGACATTTCAAAAAGCACCTTAGGTGGAGTTAATATGAAGGTATTCTCATATTTTTTAATTTTAATTTTTATTGAAGTATGGTTGATTTCCAATGTTAGTTTCAGGTGTACAGCAAAGCATTTGAGTTATACATACATATATATACACACACACACACATGTACTTTCAGATTCTTTTCCATTATAGGTTATTATAAGAAACTGAATATAGTTCACTGTGCTATATAGTTGGTCTTTGTTGTTTTATCTATTTTATATACAGTAGTGTGTATCTGTTAATCCCAAACTTCTAATTTATCCCTCGCCTCTTTCCCCTTTGGTTACCATAGTTTGTTTTCTATATCTGTAAGTCTATTTCCAGTTTATAAATAAAATTTGTATCTTTTTTTAGATTCCACATACAAGTGATATCATATGATATTTGTCTTCCTCTGGTGTATTTCACTTAGTATGATAATCTCTAGGTCCATCCATGTTGCTGCAAATGGCATTATTTCATTCCTTTTTATGGCTGAGTAATAATCAATTGTGTGTGTGTGTGTGTGTGTGTATCTATCACAAATTCTTTATCCATTCATCTGTCAATGGACATTTAGATTCTTGCCATGTCTTGGCTATTGTAAATAGTGCTGCTATGAACATTGGGGTGCATGTGTCTTTTTGAATTATATTTTTCTCTGGATATATGCTTAGCAGTGGGAATCCTGGATCATACAATAAGTCTACTTTTAGTTTTTTAAGGAGCCTCCATAATGGCTGTACCAATTTACATTCACACCAACAGGGTAGGAGGGTTCCTTTTTATCCACACCTTCTCCAGCATTTATTTTTTTGTAGGCTTTTTAATGATGACCATTCTGACTGGTATGAGGTGATACTTCATGGTAGTTTTGATTTGTGTTTCTCTAGTAATTAGCAATATTGAGCATTTTTTCATGTTCCTGTTGGCCATCTGGATGTCTTCTTTGGAGAAATATCTTTTAGGTATTCTGCCCATTTTTTCATTGAGATATTTATTTATTTATTTGCTTTTAAGCTGTATGAGCTATTTATATATTTTGGAAATTAGTCTCTTGGCGGTCGCATCATTTGCAAAATTTTCTCCCATTCCGTAGGTTGTCTTTTTGTTTTGTTTATGGTTTCTTTCGCTGTGCAAAAGCTTTTAAGTTTAACTAGGCCCCATTTGTTTATTTTTGCTTTTATTTCCATTACTCTAGGAGCTGGTTTGAAAAAAAGACTGCTGCAATTTATGTCAAAGAGTGTTCTGCCTATGTTTTCCTCTAGGAGTTTTATAGGTTCCAGTCTTACATTTAGGTTTTTACACTATTTTGAGTTTATTTTTGTATGTGGTATTAGGGAATGGTCTAATTTCATTCTTTTACAGGCAGCCGTCTGGCTTTCCCAGCATCACTTACTGAAGACTGTCTTTTCTCCATTGTGTATTCTTGCCTCTTGTGTCGTAGATTAATTGACCATAAGTGTGTGGATTTATTTCTGTATTTTCTATCCTGTTCCATTGATCTACGTGTCTGTTTTTGTGCCAGCACCATAATGTTTTGACTACTGTAGTTTTGTAGTCTTGTCTGAAGTCAGGGTGTGTGTGTTCCTCCAACTCTTTTCTTCCTTCTCAAGATTGTTTTGACTATTCAGGGTCTTTTGTGTTTCCATTCAAATGTAAAAGTTTTTTTGTTCCAGCTCTGTGAAAAATGTCATTGGTAATTTGATAGGGATTGCATTGAATCCGTATATTGTCTCAGGTAGTATGGCCATTTTGACAATACTGATTCTTCCAATCCAGAAATGTGGTATATCTTTCCATCTGTTTGTGTCATCTTTAGTTTCTTTCCTGAGTGTCTTAACAGTTTTCTGAGTACAGGTCCTTTGCCTCCTTAGGTAGATTTACACCTAGGTATTTTATTCTTTTTGATGCAATGGTAAATGGGATTGTGTCCTTGATTTCTTTTTCTGATATTTTGTTGTTAGTGTATAAAAATGCAGCTGATTTCTCTGTATTAATTTTGTATCCTGCAACTTTACCAGAGTTTTTGGTGAGCTCTAGTAGTTTTCTGATAGTGTCTTTAGGATTTTCTATATATAGTATCATGTCATCTGCCAACAGTGACAGTTTTACTTCTTTTTTTCTGATTTGGATTCCTTTTATTTCTTTTTCTTCTTTGATTGCTGTGGCTAGGACTTCCAAAACTATGTTGAATAAAAGTGGTGAGACTGGGCATCATTGTCTTGTTCCTGGTCTTAGAGGAAATGCTTTCAGCTTTTCTCCATTGAGTATTATATTGTGGGTTTGTCATATATGGCCTTTATTATGTTGAGCTATGCTCCCTCTGTGCCCACTTTCTGTAAAGTTTTTATCATAAATGAATGTCGAATTTTATCAAAAGTTTTTTTCTGCATCTATGGAGATGATCATGTTTTTTTTTCTTCAATTGTTAATGTGGTGTATCACATTGATTAATTTGTGGTTATTGAAAAATTCTTGCATCCCTGGGATAAATTTTACTTGCTCATGGTGTATGACCCTTTTAATATATTGTGGGACTCAGTTTACTAGTATTTTGTTGAAGTTTTTGCATCTATATTCATAAATGATATTGGCCTATAATTTTCTTTTTTGTAATATCTTTGCTTGGTTTGGGTATCAGGGTGATGGTGGCCTCATAGAGTGAGTTTGGAAGTGTTCCTTCCTCTGCAATTTTTTGGAATAATTTCAGGAGGATAAGTATTAACTCTTCTCTAAATGTTTTGTAGAATTCCCCTGTGAAGCCATCTGGTCCTGGATTTTTGTTTGTTGGGAGTTTTTAAATTACTGATTCATATTTTCTGTTTCTTCCTGGTTCAGACTTGGAATATTGTACCTTTTGAAGAATTTATCCATTTCTTCTAGATATTCCATTTTATTGGCCTATAGTTTCTCATAATAGTCTCTTATGATTTTTTGTATTTTTGTGGTGTCAGTTGTATGTAACTTTTCCTTTTTTCATTTCTGATTTTATTAATTTGGACCCTCTCTCTTTTTTTCTTGATGAGTCTGGCTAAAGGCTTATCAATTTTGCTTATCTTTTTAAAGAACCAGCTCTTAGTTTCATTGATATTTTCTAGTTTTTTTTTAAGTCTCTATTTCATTTATTTCTGCTCTAACCTTTATGATTTCTTTCCTTCTACTAACTTCAGGTTTTGTTCTTTCTCTAATTTCTCTAGGTGTAAGTTTAGGTTGTTTATCTGAGATTGTTCTTATTTCCTGAGGTAAGCTTGTATTGATATAACTTCCTTCATACAACTGCTTTTGCTGCATATCAGACGTTTTGGATCATCATGTTTCTGTTTTCTTTTGTCTCTAAGTATGTTTTGATTTCCTCTTTGACTTCTTCAGTGACCCATTGGTTGTTTAGTAGCACATTGTTTAGCCTCCACGTCTTTTCTTTGTGGCTTTTGCAGATTTCTTTCTTGTAGTTGATTTCTAGTCTCATAGCACTGTGGTTGGAGAAGATGCCTGATATGATTTCAGTTTTGTTAAATTTACCAAGGCCTGCTTTGTGGCCTAGCATGTGATCTATTCTGGAGGATGTTCCGTGTGTGCTTGAGAAGAATGTGTATTCTGCTGCTTTCAGATGGAATGCTCTATAAACATCATTAAGTCCGCCTGCTCTGATGTGTCATTTAAGGCCTGTATTTCTTTACTGATTTTCTGTCTGGATGATCTATCCATTGCTGTAAGTTGGGTGTTAAGGTCCCCAGTATTATTATATTACTGTCAATTTCTCTTTATGTCTGCTAACCGTTGCCATATATATTGAGGTGCTCCTGTATCAGGTGCATATGTTCACACCTGTTGTATCTTCTTGGATTGATCCCTTGATCATTATGTAGTGTCCTTCTTTGTCTCTTGTAACAGTCTTTATTTTAAAGTCTATTTTGTCTGATACAAGTACTGGGACTCCAGCTTTCTTTTGGTTTCTATTTGCATGGAATATTTTTTTCTATCCCCTCACTTTTAGCCTGTATGTGTCTCTAGCTCTGAAATGGGTCTCTTGTAGACAGCATATGTACAGGTCTTGTTTTTGTATCCATTGAGCCAGTCTGTCTTTTGACTGGAGCATTTAATCCATTTACCTTTAAGGGTAATTATTGATATGTATGTTCTTATTCTAATTTTCTTAATTGTTTTGGATTTGTTTTTGTAGGTATTTTCCCCCTTTCTTTTTTTGTTCTCTTCTTTTGTGATTTGGTAACGATCTTTAGCACTATTGTTGGATTCCTCTTTCTTTTTTGTATGTATATTTGTTATAGATTTTGGTTTGCAGTTACCATGAGGTTTTGGTATAGATGTCTCTCTCTCTCTCTTTCTCTCTCTCTCTCTCTCTCTATATATATATATATATATATATATACATATATATATATATGTATATTAGTTATTATTACTACGTAGTAGTACGTCGTTCGTAGTGTGTGTGTGTCGTCGTCGTCGTCGTCG